TGGAATCGGCTACCATCAGCGATTTTTCCCGACCAATACTACTTAGTGAACTTACTTCAAGGAAAGAGCCTACTCTTTTTTAAAAGGCCGGCAATGGACCTCCTCTTTCCCAAGTCACATGAGTAGATATCTACTAATGAGCCCAAGTGTTGCACTTGTTCATGGGCGGCGGAAGACACCATTAGGTGAGCCGCATGCTCTTTTGCCCCTACTTTTATATTAAAAATTGAAGTGTAGGTTTAATAGTTCTTGAGTTATGGGGGGGTCGGAATTTGCACGAAATGGTTTGTGCAAATATGCACACAGCCGGTGCGTCGCCTTTTTAATTTAAAACTAAATCACCAAATTTTTTCTTTTTCTTATCAACCGATCCTAGAGCTAGCAGTGATACCAAACACACCTATTATACATTGACAGTATTGTTTAGGGAATGGTTGGGGCACTAATTTTGTGTCCCATACAAATTTGGCTTTGTCAAGGAAAATCAAGTATTATTACTTTTTGCATATTGTGTTGAAAAACGAGTGCTGTTAACTCCTTTAATTTGTAAGTGAACATGTACAACGGTGCGATGGACATCTGGAAAACTGCTAGCCTGAAATATCCAGATATAGGGCGATACTCACTGTACTGTACTGAACGCGTGCCAAGCATGCGCCGGCCCAACCTCTCAAAAGTGGAGAGGTTTATATTTCCGTATTCCGTAAGTATGTTAGTACTTACTATAATACGTAGTACTTATCTTACTTTTTGTGCTTATGTAAGCAAATGACAATTGCAATGGAAGGTTTCAAAAACATTTTAGTAGGTAATAGTTGTACCTACTAGAAAAAAGAGTAACAGTGTGTTGGCTAAAGTATCACTTTAAATTGTTTAAAACGTTTTAAGCAAACATAAAATATGATACAGCCCCACCTTGCAAATTGAATTTTCAATATTCAAAACCTTATAAATACATTTTATGTAACTAGTAGCGCCATCTGTTGCATATCGTATTATTTAAATCTTATTTATTAACATGAATTCGGGAAAATACGGTTATGGAAGTTATGAAACACAGCGTTGCAAGAATAATGCGCTAGATGGCAGGACATGTATACAAGAAACCCGAGTGTATATAGTATCTGACGTACGGATATTATTTTATAATATGTAGATATTATAATAACTTGTGGTGCAGTTTTTGAATGTAACAAGCAGGGTTCTTCAAAACTCGTAGATATCTATGAATTGAAGGCAAGAACTGTACATTCAATTTGTGGCCGCTACATTGACGACTTCAGCGTATTAAATGAGGGCTGAGTCTGAGTTTAGGACTCAGATCATAAACACAAGACCAGAACATAAATCTCGTATATATATAATTCATAATTCTTTATTACATGTCACAAAGTATAAAGTTGGAACAATATATTTACAGAACATGTGACAACCTGTACGGGGGTAGCATATCAAAACAGAGTTTTCTAATTAATATGGAATTCATTTTCATTTCATTCAAATTACAGTATTTATAGTACACAATATATAAATTATATAATAAAATATCAGACTAAATAATACTTACACATTTATTTTAAAAATTAAATTTCAATAAATATTATATGTCAACTGATCATTCGTCATTTACATTACGTAAATAAAGTTTAAAAATTTTGATGAAAAATACTAACAATGTCAAATATGTAAATATAAATAAAGAAAATTTTCACGTAATTAAAATTGACTTTTTTCTAATTTATCATTAAACATATTCATTCAAACCGTATTTTATATCGAGTATGTTTTTACAATTAGCATTTTCTTGAGTAGTGCATTTCAAATTTACGACACTGGAGGGTTTTTATTATATTAGGTAAATGGTTCTAAACCCTTATAGCCCTGTAGTAGGGACCATTTTTATATAATGTGAGATGTGTGGCAGGAGCAACCAGATTATAACCTCGGCGTGTGCCGTATCGACGGGGTCTATCTTCAAATCGCTGGAAATAATAAGAATTTTTCCTAACAAATCGGCATAATTCAAAAATGTACATGCTCGTTACAGTAAGTTATATCTGGGGAACAACCTTCGACATGAATATCTTGGAGCTGCGAATGTGATGATTCTAAGGCAGCGTTTTTGGAGCATGGATACCGCGTGTCGGTTTTGCCCGAGATGCCGTGTCTTATCCAGGCACCTGCGTGGCTGTGGTACGCAGTAAGTGCGCACTGCTCATTATTATCCTTACGTAGCTCACGCAGCATCATAGCAAAAACTGCTCAACTTACTCACAACTCTTTCTACATGACTTTTCCATGAAAAAGTTGAGTCTATTGTTATCCCGAGGAGTGAAAATGTGCGAACTTCCTCAATATTTATAAATTGGTAAAATATAGCGAGTTATTTATAAAATATAGTTATTGGTAAAATATAGTTCTGATCTCTGATATGGACGAAACTGCATTATTTTGGTCTTTTCAAAATTTAGTAATAAGTCTAAAACCTCTAATTCATTCACAATTTTGCTAAGGCATTGGGTTATTTTTTCCTGCAAACTACTTAGATGTTTTTGTTTACAAGTAATTATAACTGTCGCGTCATCTGCAAACAAAACGACTCTATGTGGTGCTACTAAAGGAAGTTCGTTGATATAAATAGAAAACAACAAGCATCCTAGGACACTACCCTGCGATATAGAACCTGTTACTATTGCGGTGGACGAATTTATGTCATTTATCAGTTTTCGTTATTCATTTAAATATGATACCTGCACGTACTGTTTTCTATTCGCAAAATACAAAGAGAGTCAGCCATTCGTGCGGTTTCCCTCGTATACCTAGCGAATAAAGCTTTTCCAGCAAGGGTCCACGTAAAACGCGATCGTATGCTTTGGACATTTAGAGCATTTTGAATTTCTAAGATGCAGTCAAATACAGCGGACGTAGTAGAATGGTCTTTTTGGAAACCATGCTGATATTTACTAAAAATGCTGTATTTTTCAATACGTATTAATATAATATACGATTGATTTATAAGAAAAGTTAAGGACTTTACAAACTCATCTACGCAATATATGAGCAGAGTAGCTGGGATTTATCATATCTGCAAGAATTGTTTTTTTTTTGTCCTATTATCGCTCTTTTTACATCAGCTTCTGTAACACTACTAAGATATAGGGAATTTGGCAAGGATATTCGAGATGGCCGCTTATTTAGAAAGCAGCAGTTATTTGAACTTATAGTTGTATAATAATTATTGAATTAGTTTGCAACTTTACTTGGAGATGTTATATTTAAAAGTCATTACGTAAACAAATGTTTTCATATTTTACACAAATAGTTTTATATTTATTACGCGACGTTTGCACTCTTTTTATGTAAGATTTTCTTTTTTCTGTGACTATTATTCTTTTTAGTATTTTGCTGTAAATTTTTGTATAAGATTATAAGCTTCGCTTCGTTATTATAGTAGTTAGTAAGATAACGTAAACCACGTTTGTCGTAGCAACATTTTTAATGCCTTTTGTTGCCCATCTTGTCTTTTCTTTATTTTGTAATTTATATAATTTTCGTGGAATATTTTCATCTAAAATAGAATTGATTTGGTTCTGAAATTTATTTTAGTTTGTATTTATATCACTCGTTGGGGTCGTTATATTACACCAATCAATTTCATTTAGTTTAATTCTGAATTTTTTCATATTATTCCCATTAAAAAGTCATTTAGTTATTTTATAAGTAATATTATTTCTATTTATGTTCTCTTCCACTGGTATTTGTCCAATTAATGCGTGATGGTCTGATAAGTCATAATTTTGTACAAAAGCCGTCATGTATGTATTTTTAGAAATTATAATTTGGTCGATGCATGATTTACTGTTTTGGGTCTCACGTGTAGGGGTTTTTATAAGACAGCGCAACCCGAATGATTTTTAAAGATTGATAAGTCTACGAGATATTTTTGTATCCCTTGTGATGTCTATATTTATACTACCCGCTATAATAATTTTTTTATTATGAGCATGTTTGGATAAGTGGTTTAGTAAAGCTTGCATTTGAACGAAAAATGTTTCTATTTCCCTCTCACAGCGATAGATGGCCACAATCAATAAGTTAGATTCAGTAATCTCCAACGCACACAATTCCACGATAAATTCTACTGTGAATAATTGAATGTCTAAACGTTCTTTAGTTTTCATGTTTTCTCTAACAAAGATACCAACCCCACCGTGCATATGTTTTTGCCGCAAATACTTCGCACGTAGTTCGTAGCCCTCTAATGTGTAAAAATTATAGTTAATAGGTAATAACCAATGTTCACTTACGATTAATATATCTACATTAACTTCCATTAACAATAAGTTCTAAGTCGTCAATTTTGTTAGAAAGACATTGAATGTTTTGACACATTTATAGCATTTAGGGGCGAAAGGAAGACTTCTCTGTATCAATTTTATTTTCTTGAAACGTTATTACTGTTAGATCAGAGATATCTTCTATTCGTCGATTTTCACTCAATGTTACATCATCAAATGTTTATGTCATGCAAAATTGTCTTTAATCCGCGTTTATTTAATTTTCCATTATATCTTGAGAACATATGAGTAGAATAGTCTAAATTTTTGTTGGAGTCTAAAATGTAACAATATTCGAAATTAATATTATCAGAGTATAAAAGGTTATTAAAGGTTTCAATTCGTCTATTATAAATATTAGAGTGGTAACAAAATTTAAAAGTAGGCAGACATATCAAAATGTTTGTGTGCTGAACGGTTAAAAGAGTCTTCCTTATATTCATAACTAAATCATAATAATTTTTGGAAACATCAAAATCAGTTTCACCTCTTTCATTTTCAATTCTCAAGTTTTGTTTGTAGACCACTTAACAGTTGGTTAATACCACCTCCTGTTATGCGGTAGCGGCAGATGTTTTGTGTTTCGAAGTGGTTTCTCATTGTAGTCGCCATTTTATTGCTACGAATGCTGCTAATGATGCATAGTTTCCTTTTCGGTGGATATTAGCAAGTTTCTTCACTAGTCTTAATTTTTGAGGTTAGGGATTCGACATAAAAGGGGTTTCCACCATTTACAAATTTTTCAGGTTGAGTAGCAGGCAGTGTTTCTTTAAGCTTTATTCGTTCAACACATTCAAAACTATGGCGTGTATCTGACTTTAAACTTTTCCTATTTTGTTTTTTGGGTTTACTTAAAGGTGTTGAGTTATAGGAGTTATTGGCTGTTTTTCTCAATTTTACGTCGTAGATACTAACACTTTTGTAGAGTTTTGTAATTTTCTCTTGTTCTAAAAATTTTTTGTTAAGTTTTCTATTTGTTACGTTTAAATTTTCCACCTCTTTGTTCGCTATAATTAGTTCTGTACGTAACCTTCTTGTAACTCTTGTATGATTAAGCAATCTCTTAAGTCGTCGTCTGGTAGACTGCGAGAAGTTTTTTGTAAATTTAATGAATGAGTTTGTATTAATCGTTGACATAAATGAGTCTGATAAACGTGGAAGTGATTCCGATAGTTTTTTTTTTATTTTTCTAACGAAAGGTGGCAAATTCTTTGTACTCGTCATCCATCGAATCGTGCATCGAAAGAGTTAGTTGTTGGACTAAATTTGGTAGTATATGAAAACAATTTTTCGACATTTTGAAGTCTTTCCTTTCTCGTGTAAAACCATATATATATATATATATATATATATATATATATATATATATATATATTTTTTTATATAAAGCTTTGCATATTACGCTGCCTATTTATAGCCTAGCTTTAATAAAAACCAGCTACCCGTCATGGCTGTGTCTGGATAGGATCTATTAATTTGGTGTTATTTAGACTAATGGCCACTTATAAAATAAACTATACGTTTAAAAAAAATAACCTAATTGTTTTTTTTTTTAGCCTAGACCCTCACGTCACGATATTGTTCTCTATTGCTCGTAAAGTTTCAGAGAACATCAACACACACAGATGGAGAGACATTTTTTTTAAATGTTATGCAAATAACGCTCTCGAGCTTAATAGAAGTCAGATATTTCAATATTACGTGGTAGAGCCACGCTGCAGCTATATTATGGTTGTAACACGAAAGGGTCGGCTCGACCGGGGTAGGACTACGCTCTCACAGAATACCAACGTAAAATAGCAGCTTTTTTTGATGAGTGTGCATTTTTACTGGAAACGAGGCATTTCATCTTAGTCCTCATGGGTGACAATGCATCTGCATTTTGATTTGTAATCGAGGATACATGTAGATGTCTATGGGCCGCAGCATCCACTTACCATCAGGTGGACGGTGTGCTCGTTTATCACCCTAATTCTATAAAAAAGACACTTCAATTTTATTTATAAGTTTAGACAAATGAAATTATTTTTATGGATTTATGTAATTAATTTTGTTTAATTATACTGTAATAATTGCTAATAATATATAAGCCGTAGCAGTTCAACACTCGCAATAAATTAAACAGTAGGTACGCAAGCGGCCTAGGATAGATCCTTGCCCATCCCCGCCGGTACCACTATTATTTATTCTGTGCCGGTACCAACGACATTATTAATTACAATTTTTAATCCTGATTTAAACAACGTGCTCGGGGTGTAGGGTGCAAGTCTGAAAATCAAAGACTACAAAAAGCATCTGTGGCTGTCGAGCGTATCGACTTTGGTAAGGCCTCCCAATGGTCCAAGAGTCAGCACCACAGAAATCTAAATAATTACGTTATTATTTAGATTTCTGTGGTCAGCACCTAAGCAACTGTTTGAATTCACTAAGGCTAGTTTTTATAGTTCATTATAAGGGTTGCGTACACAAACATACTGATACTGCGGTCAGTGAAGCGAAACTGAAAACAGGTGATTCAGGTGCGCTATCAAAGGTGTCGTGTCTGCCAAGGTAATAAAATGAATTTACTAAGACTTAAAATTGTTGTATGTACAACTTGTACATTGCATAATATAAATAAAAGTTGTGAGGGTTAGTCAGCTGAATATGGGGAGGTGGTCAGTCGGCCGCCATGTACTCGTATGTGTAAAAAATAAATAATGCGCTATTCATTTACAACACTTCAAAAATTTTGTAAGGGTATTAAAAATTATATATGACATAAAAAAATAGTCAGTCAGCGACTTAACGGGACACGTTAAATCGATGACTGAGTTGCCTCTCCGTCACCAACTTTGGATTGGCGAATTCTTCAAGAACACAATTAAGGAAGAAAAAAGAAGAAGAGGGTTAATTTTCCATGCATAAGTACTTATACTTATGTATGGAAAAATACACTCTTTGGCCTTATGTGATCTGACAGTCGAAATAACCGGCCAAATTTGCAGATAAGGTTCGGAATAAATAATATAGGCATACGGTAAAGAAAATTAATTTAATAAAATCTCTAACATTCTGTCCTTTTTATCTTTTAAATTCAAAGTGCGTACATTAGCACTGTAACAATGTATTAACATTATTTTAACTGATTTTACCATTTTACTGTGCACGCCACTGATATACAAAAAAACCTTTTAACCCAAAAAAAAAACCCAAAAAGAAAAGGTTTTTAGTCTATCAATGGTGGACGCACACATTCGTATGGGTCGATCGGTAGGTAAAAAAGTTGTTGCTCATAAATCATATTCAATTTCGATTAATTTCCAATAATGGTAAAAGCGTTATTTATTCGTATTTTCAAAGACTACAGTAACGGTATATTATTTATATAATTGAACTTAATTTTAAAATTTGGCTACTCTTTGAAAAATAACTAATATATAATCGTATTGCACTCAAATTTTTAATCCTTTTAAACATACAGAAAACATTTGAACCCGTAACTTTACTTTCTTTAGGTACATTAAACTGCACCGATTTATAGATTTATATCACCGATCTGGAAATGCTTTGTGCGAAGAGTGACGATCACGAGAACATTCCCTTTCGCCTGATGGTCACTCTTACTAACAAATATTTATTGTGTAATTTTTTTGTAATTTTTTATTTTTTAATCCCAATTAATAAAATACTAACATAGTTTGTAAGCCATTTTTAATAACAAATATGGATGTAAAAGTTGTCCGAAATAAATGATTTATTACTATTACAATAAAATGATCGGTAAACCTAACTGTAAATATTAAATTAACCTATTTAATAACCTATTTCATCATCATCATCATCATTACAGCCCTTCACAAGTCCACTGCTGAACATAGGCCTCCCCCAACTAATGCCACAAAGCACGGTCCTGAGCCACCTGCATCCATCGACTTCCTGCATGTCTTACCAGGTCGTCACTCCATCTAGTGGGGGTCGCCCTACACTACGCCTACCGGTACGAGGCTGCCACTCGAGAACCTTTCTTCCCCATCGGTTATCGGTTCTTCGAGCTATATGGCCGGCCCATTGCCACTTCAGCTTACTAATCCGTTGGGCTATGTCGGTCACTCTGGTTTTACTGCGGATATCCTCATTTCTGAGTCTATCACGCAGAGAAACTCCGAGCATAGCCCTCTCCATAGCTCGCTGAGCGACCTTAAGCGTCCTCATACGGCCAGCAGTGAAGGACCATGTCTCAGATCCGTAAGTCATCACTGGCAACACGCACTGGTTGTACAATCTAGTTTTTAGAGATTGAGGTATACCTGACGAAAAGATATGCCGTAATTTCCCGAACGCTGCCCAGCCGAGTTGAATCCGTCGATTGACCTCTCGGTCGAAGTTGGACTTACCTAGTCGGACTATTTGTCCCAGGTAAACGTATTCGTCAACAACTTCGAGCATAGTGCTCCCAACAACTACCGGCATAGGTGTGACATGGACATTGAACATGATCTTTGTTTTGTCCATGTTCATCTTAAGACCTATCCGTTGGGAGGCACTATTGAGGTCATTGAGCATAGTGCTTAAGTCCTCCAGCGATTCTGCCATAAGGACTATATCGTCGGCAAATCGAAGGTGAGTGATGTACTCGCCATTGATGTCAATACCGTATCCTTTCCAGTCCAGTAGCTTGAAAACGTCTTCCAATGCAGCGGTGAAGAGTTTCGGGGATATAACGTCACCCTGTCTTACACCTCTCTGCAGTTGGATAGGTTTCGAGCTCTGGTTCTGTACTCGGATAGCCATCGTAGCCCTACTGTACAAACACTTCAGCACTTCGATATACCGACAGTCAACTTGGCACCGCTGAAGGGACTGTAGCACCGCCCAAATATCGTCGGAATCAAAGGCTTTCTCATAGTCCACATACGCCAGGCAAAGTGGCAGATTATACTCTTCAGTCTTCTGTACAATCTGCCGCAGGGTATGTATGTGGTCTATGGTACTGAAGCCTTTTCGAAAACCGGCTTGTTCGGGAGGCTGGAAGTCGTCAAGTCTGCATGCGAGACGATTCGTAATGACTCTCGAAAACAGCACGTAGACGCGGCTCAGAAGGGAAATCGGTCTGTAGTTCTTTAAGAGAGCGTTGTCGCCTTTCTTAAAGAACAAGACCACCGCACTTCTGCTCCACGCCTCTGGAGTAGTGCCACCATGGAGGACGGAATTGAAGAGCTTCTGAAGGACTTCAAGTACCGGTGTTCCACCCGCTTTCAGAAGCTCCGCTGTAATTCCATCCTCGCCTGGGGCCCTGCCGTTTTTAAGGTGCTGGAGAGCCATTCTAATCTCGCTTAGACTGACGTCCGGGATATCATCGGAACGATCGAATAACTTAATTAAATTAATGTATTAAATATAACAAATAAGTTACTTAAGAATTTCTTGGCAGATGATAGATAAAGTTGCGCCATTTAACATTTTAATGAGATACACTTATGTTAATGAAGTAAAATTTCCACGTGTATAGGAATTTACGAGCCAATTAAATATATCCAAGGTCTATGCTATCACAAACTCAACGTCTTTTATATATTTTAGTCTTCTGCGTTTGTCTTCCTATCAAATTGAGCAAAATGGCACATATATTATTACAGAGGCTTTTCTTTGAGTGTTTCCGGTATACGATTAAAACTAGGAATAGTTTTGTTTAAATTAATAAATTTTAATTGGTAATCCAACGCATTATCAAAATATATATTGTATTTTCAGATATAACTATTCATTTAATTTAGCACAGAAACATTCAAATACATACGAACGAATTTAACATTAACCCTACAGTGCATGATTTTTTTTCGGCTTAAAAAATATATATTACCTAGAAAATATAATACTATAGCTCGGAAAAATATTTAAAAAAATCGCAACTCCATAGAAACATACTGTTACGAGCTTGAGGTTCGTGACAATAAAAATTGCCGATAGAATTACCTAAATTAACACGTTAATTCTCCTTACACAAATTAAAACTTAAAAAACACTAATAATTAAATCACACTAATTCACTTTATTTCACTCCGAAGCTTCGCTTGTCTCGCCGAATTCAATACTTCCCCGATCGCATCTTGCAGCGCCTATTTATATAAATTAGCACGGAAATATCCAGAATATTCAAGTAAACACGCGCAAGGTACCGAGAGTTCGAGTTTCAACTTCAAGAAGTTTAGTTCTTCGGTTCGAGACTAGATGGCGCTAGTGCCGTCGACTAAGGCGCGTAACAATACTTATGTAAGTTTTTTCGTATGGCCCACATATGGCACATCGTGCAGTATAATATAAATCCGTAGTAATATTTTAGGAATAGTTATGAATGAAATAAACTCATAGTAACCAAACTTTATTCACGAAAATTATGTATTATGTTTTATAACAACTAATTTAACCTTAGGTTAAGGAGCCTTACAATCAAAGTATTTGTACTTATATATAATTATAAAACTAGGAACTTTTTGTGAAAAATAGAATAAAATATAGAACAAAAACAACAATTTCGAAACTATTTGTGGAATGACAAAAAACAGTTCTTGTCCTTGTTGAGACAGAGTGCCTGGTTACATTTCTGGCAAATTACAAAAGATTTCCCCTTACAAGCAGGTAACTTACATCGCTTCCTAATGTTAGACCAAATAGGAAAGTGTTCCATTCCATCGGTCCTGACATCTTTTGGTGGTACATTGAGTTTTGGCTTCCTTTTGATTCTTTCATCAAGCATGTCAGATACAAATGAGGAGGGTCTTCCTCTCTTCTTTATTATTGACGGTCCACACCAACACAATGCTTTGGCCACCTCCAGTCAGAACTCTCGTAACTTCATCATTTTTGTGTTTTCCCTCTGCGTCTCTACTCTTTTATATAAAAGCCAGCTATTTATCAGCATCACATCTAGCAAATGATAGAATATTCTCATGTACCACTTTCTTGTACACATTTTTATTTTGTATTTTCCTATGAAAGAGTCAAGGAGATCTACTCCGCCCATATGCCGATTGTAATGTCCAATAATATTTGGGGCGTTGACTTCTGTGTATTGTTTACGTTTCTTACAGAAACGTTTTACTTTATATTTAGGTTGTTCACCGACAAAAGAAGATGCGAGAACAACAGATTTGCTGTCTAGCCACAGCACTGCTGAGACTGGTACTGCATCAACAGTAGCCACCCATCCTTCTGAATAGCCGCGCGGCTTTTTAGCGGCCGTCAATTCTTTTTGAGATGGCATTTTCAAAGTCATCCCCATACGACCCTTGTTCACGGTGCCTAATGTATGAATGCCTTTTTTAGACAAGTAAGAAATCAATTCAGGAGACGTGTAATAATTATCGAAAAAGATCTTATAATTTTGATTTCTTGGAACACTGCGACATAGGCGTACAACAATGTTGCTACTCGCTCCTAAATCACATTCGTCGGGCAGCCTCAACTCAGGATCATTTTCTGCGCCGGAGTAGATTTCAAAGTCATAAGCAAAACCTTTATCATCACACAACACCAACAACTTGTATCCCCACACTTATGAGGTTTGTTCGGGAGATACTGGCGGAGGAAGTTGCAGGCTTTGGTAGCGCACATTTGCCATCCACCGAAAGTGTCTCTCGTTTCGGCACAGCTTGATATTTCTTTCTCAATGTTTCCAATAAGGGTCTAATACCTGAAAAGTCTGTCGTGTCCTGGCTCTCCTCTAGGTTTGTAATTTATGTTGTCATTGAAATGTATGACACTTCGTAATTTTTCAAAGTTACCGAGTGTCATCGTTTACAAGTGGTATACCTAATATAGAATTCCACAACATGCGAATGTTTGGCTGTGGCACCAGTCCTAACAAGAGACAGATGCCTAAATATTTTTTGAGTTCCGTCTTTGTAACCAAAACTGGCTTTGAGCAATCCTTCTGTATGCTGTATTTAGTAGATTCTTCAGCAATGTGATCCAACAAATCGTCGTCAAAAAAGTGCAAAAAGTACTGCAAAGGTGTTTCAAATGTAGTATATGGTTGTTCCAACACGTCAACGCCAGTAAATGTGGTATCAGGTGGCTGAAAGTCCATCTTCCAACATATGTATTCTCTCTTAGGTTTTGGCCTGGCAGGCCTGACAGGCTGTGGGGAAGGTGAAATGATGCGGGGAGTAGGTACTGCTTGAGGTCGTGATGCTACTCGGCTGGATCTAGGATTTACTTGCCTGGAAGTACTAGGTTGTGATGCAACGTTGGCTGTGTTAGAAGAACTGCTTGTTGGCTGAATCACTAACATACAACTGCTTGACCTTGGACTAGGTATGCTCACGTTCTCATCGAAGAAATCATCCGGTAGTACTTCAGGGCACGTCTCCACTTCGTTCAACACCAAATCCTGGATTCTGATCAAGTCGTCATCGCTGTCCTTATCAGACAGTTCCAGGTCATCTTCACTACCGGAAGGAATTTCGAGAAACTGTTGAATATCATCAGAATTTAAATTTTTCCTTCGGCTCATCTAGAAACAATACAAATATTTTGAAGACACTTATTGCATCGTGTGCCACATCTGTCACATACAAAAATGTCGTATTTCTATGCACTATTTATTTATGAAATTACAAATAACTAAAAAAATAACAAATAGATACATAAACTTACCTCTACAAATTATTTCATATACAAACTATTCTAAATCAGTTTTTTTGTTTTTTTCTTGCGCAACCTGTCGATCACTTTCAAAATACCGTTGGTTTTGAACAAAATGTAAACAAACATTCATTCAGAGACATCTAACCAAAAATTTTAGTACTAAATTTGATTGACCATTCCTTTATAGTTAGTTTACTTTTGACTAGATGACGCTACTTATTTCGAGTACGGAAATATAGAGGTTTTTTAGGTATGTGCCACATGTGTCCCACTATGCGCTGTAGGGTTAAATGATAATAGGCATGTGATCAATCACACAATATAATACGTATAAATAAAAACATATGTCTATAGGTAAATTACGTATTATAATAAATTTGTAGGAAACTCGTGTCTGTTATTCTAATATTTTCTGTGAAAAAAAAAAACAGTCCAGGGGACTAAACAAGGGGCACTAAACAAGGGGCACTAAACAAGGAGCCCTAAACAAGGGGCACTAAACAAGGGGCACTAAACAAGGGGCACTAAACAAGGGGCACTAAACAAGGGGACTAAACATGGGGCACTAAACAAGGGGCACTAAACAAGGGGCACTAAACAAGGGGCACTAAACAAGGGGCATTATACAAGGGGCGCTAAACAAGGGGCACTGAACAAGGGGCACTAAACAAGGGGCACTAAAGAAGGGGCACTAAACAAGGGGCACTAAACAAGGGGCACTAAACAAGGGGCACTAAACAAGTGGCACTAAACAAGGTGCACTAAACAAGGGGACTAAACATGGGGCACTAAACAAGGGGCACTAAACAAGGGGCACTAAACAAGGGGCACTAAACAAGGGGCACTAAACAAGGGGCACTAAACAAGGGGCACTAAACAAGGGGCACTATACAAGGGGCGCTAAACAAGGGGCACTAAACAAGGGGCACTAAACAAGGGGCACTAAACAAGGGGCACTAAACAAGGGGCACTAAACAAGGGGCACTAAACAAGGGGCACTAAACAAGGGGCACTAAAGAACAAGGGGCACTAAACAAGGGGCACTAAACAAGGGGCACTAAACAATAAGTGGAGATTTTTGTCAGTTAGTCTGTCTGTCTGTGTATTCACGATTCACACAAAAACTACTGGACAGATTTGTATAGAGTCAAGAGTATCCGAATATGGGATTTTTCAAATCTTTAAAACTTCATAACTCCGAAAATATTAAGCTTATCGTCAAAAGTCGTAGGACCTTTTTTATTCGTATATTTCATCGAAGAATATGTAAAAAAAATTACCAGTTTGAAAATAACAACTCCTTGCAATTGTTTAAACAATTTCGGTTTAAGAAATATGGCATGGCCGAGTTGCCATACGGCAAAGTGCATTTATATCATCAGTAGGACTATTTGAAGAGAGTCGTATAAAAAATTGGGGTCGACTAGTTTTCGGTACTATTCCTCCATGCGCCTATTTCTCCATGCGCCTATTCCTCCTGGACTATCACGGTTTTGTTGTGCGATTGAGCCACTGAAGTCGCACCACAACTGACTGATGGTGACTAGACGGCTGACAGGTTGCTGTTTTGTTTTTCATAGTTTTAATACCTAATAAAAGCGCCATCTATTTCCTGCTAAATAAACTAAAAGTAACTGATAACTTTTTTATTAAATTGGTACTTATTCTTGCAGCATAAAAATTGTCAGACTTAAAATATACAGACCGGTGGCCGGTATCGGGACGATTTACCGTAATTTAGCAAAATTACTAACTAAATTGTGTATAAGTACAAAACTGTGATTAAGAGAGGTCTTTCGAGAATTATGATGGGTGATCACTTTACCAACTTCTTTTGGTATCAAGTCCGATGTAAGCAATTGAAAATTAGGTGCACTGTGAGATTTTTATCTCTAATATATAATCATGCAAAAACCTCTTTTCCGTTATTATTTAAACAAATATAGAGATACGATACGAGATAGCTCACCGTAAGATTTTGTACGATTTCCGCGAGGACCAATGAAACTGGAAAGGAAATTTTATATGCTTTATGTGCTGGAAATTTTATATCTTTATACCATATTGTATCTACAATATGGTACAAAGACACGACACTTCGAATAAGTATCAGTAATCTAAGAAATTCTTATGTTTACGCGAACACTATAGATACATTTAATTAAAACCACTTTTTACGGATTTTATCGCGTATATATTTCCGGCGCTTCGAACATTTTTCAACACCCATGGTCACGGGGGAGCCTGAGGTGTTAGACGTCCAAATGTTATAGTTAACCACGGCCTACCTCCAGATTAAAATTATTAATTTTGGACCGTTTTAAGCAATATTAACATATAGTATCTTGAAATCTTGCAGTTGTACGTTTGGGTTGGGATTTAATTTTATTATGATAATTTTATGATCCCAAGCAGATGATGGCACCCAGCTATCTTTTCTACTGAAATTAGGATGTTTTTCGATTCAAGTACCCTCGCGAATCATCCTTGGATGGAATGGGTGTACTTTAGCGAGGATGGACGGGGGAGATCATGTACGTGTTCATAAACTGCAGACTCCGATTCTTCACATCAGCTATGTTTTCTATAACGCGGGTTTTTATTGGTCCTTTAGTTTGTCCTACGTAAGAGAGACCACATTCACAATCAAGCTTATGCACTCCTGCATCTTGAGAGACAATACACTTGACTGATAATAAAAACTGATTAATGTTGGAAGCATTCTTCAACGAGTAGCCAAGGTTCACTGACAAGATTGGCTACATCTTGAAGCACTCCTCAAGGTTGTTGAACTATGACATTAGGACGCCGAACAACTCAGTCGCCGTCGCCGATGTGACCATGAGTGCTATAGAGTGCTCGAAACGTCGGTAATATAAAATAAGTTGACATACGATAAAATCCGCAAAAACTAGTCTTATAAATCTATAGTTTTTTACTATTTAACGAGTACACAATTATCTTAAAAATATTCAATAGGACATACTAACAGATTAAAGGTCTAGAAGGTAAAGGTACATTGGATAATTGAATTGAACAGCCGAAAAAAGCCAACAAATACTACATATGTAAACGTAACGATGCTATTGGTAGAATTACACACAAATTAAACTCTAAAGTAATTTTAGTTCCTTAGCAGCAGTTGCAACAAAATTTCTAGCATTATCACAAAAAATATTCCGAGCGATGATTCTTTTAAGAGTCAACAAAAAGGCATTTCTGGATAGTTCGCTTACAGTTTCTAAATGTACACATCTACAACAAAAGCAGATAAATATACGTAGATAACATTTTATTATCTTACATCCCCTTCCCTTGCGGTCAGTGATAAGAAATGGGTCAGTAAAGTTAATACCTACCGTGCAAAATAGATAATCGGGAACTAAGCGATCAGGGAAGATTACCCATTAGTCATTGATTGACTCTTAAAACGACATTATACTAAGCAATTATAGGTCACTTGCCTAGCTAATTTTCTACCACCAGTCGGCCAGTAGAGCTCCCTAATGTAGGCAAGAAGGTGCTGAGGTCCCGCATGGAGCACTCGTTTATGTGAATTTTTTTTTAATCAATTTTGACAAATTTATTCTGTTAAATAGTGTTTTGCATTTAAAATGATAAGACGTTTCTCATCATAAGCTGAAGTGGAAACATCGATTTTTCCGCCAACTCTCAGAATGCCTCTCTCGTCTAGAAATGGATCTAGAGAAGATAGAGGCGCCGTAAATAACAGGACCCCTTTATTACGAAGTTTAATAAATAAATTAAAGTAATAAATAAGAAAATTGAAGGACTCACTTTGAAGCTATTTTAATAAAATTTGTTAACGATTATGGAAGTGCTCCGACTTGAAGACCTGATAATTCGCAGCTTTTAGCAATTATATATAAATCAAACAAAACTCTAGAATATACTCTTTGTATCATAGTTAAGTTTCAAAATCTTTTAAAATCAAATGGGGTATTAGTGCAAACTTCCGTGACTAAAGCGGAAATAAATTGCATTTCAGGCAGCTCTACGATACTAGATTCGAATTGTCGTCACTCAGCCTATGTTTTTAGAAGAAAGGGTGGATAATCCTACCACATAGAGGAGGCGCATTCATCTTGAGCATCTACTCCGTGAGAGGCAAGATCGGCTGAATTTAGGGTGGTAGGAACATGCCGCCAATTCACGGTATTTGAAAGCTCGCTTATAGCTGTCACCCTATCTGCGACAAAAAGCTTAGCTTTGTATAGAGTTTAGCCAACCTCATACTACACTAGAGTCGGTCCTATAAACTTACCATCCGACCCAATATAGCAGCACAAAGTTAAAGCCTGGGGATAATCGTAGTTGTATGAGGCGCTACAGGAATTTTAGCGAATAAAAGTTTCACAGTTATGTCCATAGAATACTATATACCAGGGGTGGCCAACCGTTCGATCACGACTAATAGTCCAGTCTATCGTGGCAAGGCAAAAAATATAAACATTAATAAGTAGAACAGACTGCGGAACGTAATCACCAACTGCTGCACGCATTATCTTTTATAATTTTCCATCGCTGTTCCGTCATATTATTTATTTTGTGGTTCTGTCACGTTATTTATCCTCTCCTTTACTCAGTACAGCTCTCTTTTGTTTTCGGCATGCGGTGAAAAATAAGCGGGAATCTATTCGTGGTTTACAGCTGTCTTGATATACAGTGATGTGCCGTATAGAAACGATAAGTATAAACAAAAACGAACAAGTAAAAAAAAGATATTGTCCACTGTGTTGTTTTTTCGCTACATCACGATAGAACTTATAGATGGTCGAAGATTTGCGTCGAAAACAGAACTGCTAAGTATGATTTTCTTAAAAGAAAAAACTCGTGGCCTTGATA